ACCAAGTGTTTAAAGGATCAATTGGGCTCTAGTCACAGGCATCAGACTTGGCCCAGGCCTGGTGGCTGCTCAGGACAACAAGCATGTCTTCTGCCCCCTACACATGTCTTCTGTCCTCTCCACGGCTCCTGACCTTCCCCTGGAAGTTAATGCACAATCCCATCTGAGTGGAGGGATTTTTAAAAAGAGATTTTAGATGGAGGGCTTGCCTTCTCTGTGTTAGGAGCCCATAGGTGTCTTTAACATGCAAACCAGGCTTTTTACTGCGCTCCGAGGCTCGCACAGGTTTTCTGTGCAGAACAATGAGCAGGCGTAGGGGCAGAAAGGAGTCAGGTGAGACCTGTTATCTGCTATGCTGCTCTCTCAGTGACGGTGGGTGGACACCCCACATCCTAGCAAGCAAGGTGACAAAGGTCACGAGTAGTCACAGATTTATCGAGTCTTTGCTCAGGGCACTGGCATTTTTGGCAGCAGCAAACCCTGTCCTCTAATGACACTGTATAAAGTGCTGTGACTTTTATTGGTTTACACCCCCTGCCTTTGTTGGCAAGTGACAGCTTCTTTTGGCATTAGCTGTAACAGTCAATCTCTTCAGATTCATGGTGCCTGTGCCAAGCCTTACAGAAGAAAGACACTGCTTGAAAACCCAGAGAAATCAGCTAATTTTGAGAGTGGCCTAGAGCGAGTAGTGGCCAAGAGGTGTTCCTGATGTTTTTTCTTTTTTGGGGGGGAGGGAATATACATTGACTTAAAGTTGGATTCCCGTCAAGGAATTAGATTGAATGGTTTCAGAAAAGTCTTCTGTATTTTCATTCAGCATTGCCTTTGTCCACTGATTCTAGGGCCAGTGAGCTGTGTGTTTCAGCAAAGGCAGGGCCGCATGTCGCTGTTGGCCCTGGAGGCACAATGCTGTGGACGGTGCACATCGGGAGGTCTTTCCACGCGCCTTCCCTAGGAAAGTCAGAACATTGCTGTGCTGCAGGCCTAAAACAACTAGCTTTCATGGTTAGAAAGGACCTATCCTTTTTCACCTCTAAATCAGGGTGTCAGCCATCTGGGTCATTTTTTGAAAACGTGACTGTATTTATTCTCTCTTCTAAATAGCTCCATTAGCTGATTTAAGACATCGATCTCATCCCCAAGCATTGCCCTACTTCAGAGACACTCAGCACTGTCAGTGCTCTACCCAGGCTGCCCCAAAAGTAGGTGGCCTAGAATAAAGAAGAGAAAGTAAGAGGGAAAACAAAGGAGCTCCCTTCTCTCTGGCCAGAGCCGGGCAACCAGAGAACCCCTCTTGTGGTTGTTGAGCATTGCCTACTAAGGGGGTGCTGGGCTCCTAAGACCACCTTGGAAGCTCGCTAATCTCTCATTTGTCCTCCTACCCCTCACCTACTATTCCATCTGAACCTCTGAAAGAACTCTCCCACAGCTGAGGAAGAAGCCAAAGCAGAAACATAGGGCAATGGGGAGAGGATGCGGCCTTGGCTGTGGGGAATCTATGGGTCCTGAGTGCATCTGTGCAATATCTGTGGGTGATGTGGTCTGTAGCTCCATTCACTTGAGGTTATTAATGGCACAGAAGACAAGACATTCAAACTAAAAACAAGGGCCCAAGGACATCTCCAAGGCTCACGGGTTTGTTGACTCATCAGAGCTGTGGGGCCTGGAAGACTATTTTCTGTTTATTAAGTCGTCACAAAATTTAGGGAGTATGAGGAAGCAGTCAGGAGAGATTTCATTTCAAGGAGCCAACCAGCCCTGCCTCCCACTCATCCTTCTCCCGGGCTCCAGAGGCAGCTCTATAAGGGTGAACTGGTGAGCATGCCATTGCCTCCTGGAACTGCCTGTTCCCAGTGGTCTTGTTCTGAGGGAGCTGAGACCTGGGATCCAGGAGGAACAAGGGAACTTCTTCAGAACAGAGCCCTTGATCCCCTACCCTCCCTTGTGGAAGCGCTACCCTAGGGTTAGCACAGAACAAGCTGGTTGGTCAGTCACATGGTCAGAACAGCTGTGAGATTGTACGCAGTGTGCTGTGTGTATGCACCTTTTCTCTGGTGAGAGTCCACAGTTCTCTTCAGCCTTCTCTGACCTCCCCACCCTCCCAAAAGAGAAAAGATGCACTAAATTAAGGACGAAGAAAGGACCTCTCTGACCTTCATCGGCAGGACTTAATCTGAGAGAGGAAAGGTGGGACACTCAAGGCTTTACCTGACCTTGCATCGGCATCCATAGACGCCTCCTCACAGATGCCCCCTCCCACCTCAGGCTGCTTCTAACCCGGTGGTTCTCACTGTAGCCCAGAACACATGTCTTACACATGGTAGGCACTCGGTACATACTTATTGAACAAATAGGGACTCTTACCAAGACTGCTACCAAGAATAATAGAAGGAAGATGTCACCATGCCCATAATAAAATGTGACATACAGATGCTGGTATCACATGACCAGCATTGCCATCATTACCATCCACCAGCTCACTGTGGCTCCCATGCTTTTCTCCTTCCTAATCTCCTTCCACCAACCCCAGCACTGCTTGAACTAGTGCAGTTTTGTTTTCCTCCTGGCAGTGAAGATGTTACTGGACTTCCTTCTGCTGGCTTGGTTTCCTATCAGCCTTGGTGCAGAAAGTCACCTTCTGGTTGAAGGAGGCTCCTGGCTCCCTGAGATGAGGCAGCTCTGACTCATGGGGCAGCTCTCGCCCTGCCTCCTCACTGTTGCTGTTGTGTTGCACATTTTATGGTTCAGCCACTGGGAAAAGCCTCCATCCCAGAACCAGGATGGCTGTCCAGTTGTAGGCTCTATTTTTAACAACCACCAAGTTCCTAGGAAAGCCCCATTTCCACCACAGGATGATATGCCCTCCAGGCTTCCTCCTACTCCTGCTTCCCTTGCCCAGCCTGGCCCTGCTTGTTCTCATGCCTCACAAGCCACTCTTGCCTTTTGGATTCCAATAACCCTGCATGTTTACCTCTACAACAGCGTTCACCACCTTGTGTTGTGGTTGCCTTTTATTGATTTGTTCCCCCTTCAAGCCCAGGCTTCCTGACAGCACAGTGCCTGGCACATATCAAACTCATTCATTCACTCAACAAATCTTTACTGAGCACCTGCTGCCTGCAAGGCATTGTTCTAGGCCAGTGGTCGGCAAACCGCAGCTCACAAGGCACATGCGGTTCTTTGGCCCCTTGAGTGTGGCTCTTCCACAAAATACCACGTGTAGGCGCACACGTACAGTGAGATTGAAACTTCGTGGCCCATGCACAGAAGTTGGTTTTCGGCCTGGGCCAGTCTATTTTGAAGAAATGGCATTAGAAGAAGTGGGGGGAGTCAGTCGGTCGGGCGACAGGAGACACAGCGCAGGCGGGCTGTGGGATACGCAGTGCGGGGGAGGTATATTGTTTTGAGGTACATTCACTGAGGTCGACCCCTTCCAACTCTCCCATCCACACTTGTCTATCTGAAACAAGTATACAAGATGAGTGTGGACGTTTTTAGCAAAGGCCAGCTTAGGAGTACCCTAATTAAGTTAATAACAATGTACCTACCTATATAGTTTAAATTTAAAAAATTTGGCTCTCAAAAGAAATTTCAATCGTTGTACTGTTGATATGTGGCTCTGTTGACTAATGAGATTGCCGACCACTGTTTTAGCCTCTTGGGATACAACAGTGAATAAAACAGGCCCAAACTGCCTGTCTTCACGGTGCTTACATTCCAGCATGGAAGACAAGCACATAATAAATGCGTAAATTGTAAGTTAGAAAGTGATAAGCACTATGTAAAAAACAGCAGGGTGTGTGGAGGTGTGAATGATCAATAAACTTGTATTAAGTTGAGTTAAATTTGGCATGGTTCAGTGACATTGTTGAGAATTCTTCTTTTCCTCCCTGACCCAGTTTAACAAATGACCCTCACACCCTTGACATAATTTTTGTACTTTGCACCATGATTACATTTGATAGATTTCTCTAACCAAAGTATGGTAACCCCAGATAAATATTAATAGATTTGCAAAGAATATATTGGTAGGTAATACTTTTACCAGTCAGATTAGGTAGGTCACTTGTCAATCTTTTTATTCACAGCAAGCAAAGAACATATTTGTCCAGCATACATACTCAGGGCCCCTGAGGGTAGCACTGTCCCAGCACACCTGGAGCTCATTTCAGGCACCTGGCAGTGGTCAGGGAACTTCAGCATGCTTTAGGATCACCTGGGTGATTAATATGGGCTCATTGAATTCTCTAAATTCTCTAAACCAGTGGTTCTCAACCTTCTGGCCCTTTAAATACAGTTCCTCATGTTGTGACCCAACCATAAAATTATTTTCGTTGCTACTTCATAACTGTAATGTTGCTACTGTTATGAATTGTAATGTAAATATCTGATATGCAGGATGGTCTTAGGCGACCCCTGTGAAAGGGTCATTCAACTGCCAAAGGGGTCGCGACCCACAGGTTGAGAACCGCTGCTCTAAATGCTGGGCCCAGCTGAGGTCCAGGTGGCAGGCCCCATTGGGAAAGTCTCCTTCTCCCACATCCTGGAAGCTTCCAGCTCTCTAGCTCTAGCAGTAAGAGCTGAGGCACATCCAACACCAAGCTCAGATGCAGTGGAAGATTTAATGTCACGTAAACCCAAGTGAATTAAAATCATTCCTTGCTGAAGGAATTATTTTTTGAGGCAACCCACCTTCTTAGACAAGTGGATAGAAAACATTGGGGAACTTTTTTTGTTCCAGAAAATAAAATAACAGAGAGAACCAGACAAGATCTCTCTTAAGGCAGAGCCTGCAAAAGTCCCTGACAGTTCAGGTAAAGGCCATAAGTATTCTGAGTATAGGTGATGCAGGGGTAGCAATGAGCCATGACCCACATAGACAGACACAAAGGTCAACCCCATTCGTCTCCTCCAGTTTCTCTCCACTGCCTCTCTACCTGCCTCCTCGCTTTGACTCAGTTCTGCTTTCCCTCTTTCCTAACTTTCCTTCATCTTTCCAGATGCAGGACGCTATGGGCTATGAGTTACCCTGGGTGTATTTTGTCAGTCTGGTCATCTTTGGATCCTTTTTCGTTCTAAATCTGGTTCTCGGTGTGTTGAGCGGGTAAGCTGACCATTTCTATGTCCTCCTTACAATGCAGCCGAGCAAGGTCCCAGGTTCCACTCTGTCCATCGCCAGGATCCTCAGGGATGGGACCCTAAGAGGCCCAGGAAAACCAGGGGAAAACCCCAAATTCTGACCCATTGGCGGGCAGGCTGTTTGGCCTCTGATTTTCACCTAGAGGACCGGGGTCCTGGCGCTGCATGGGTCGGTGTCTGGAGCCAATGATGGGTGCTGGGCCATGCTCGACTGCTGTGTGCACCTCACTAACTATCATTCCGTTCTTCCAGGTCAATGATGCCGTAGGAAGGGACTGGCCCTGGATCTATTTTGTTACACTAATCATCATAGGGTCATTTTTTGTACTTAACTTGGTTCTCGGTGTCCTTAGCGGGTAAGCAGGACCAAGGAAAAAGGTCTTGATTTTTCCATTTTATTTACTCTTTCTGCTATTCCTGGCTTTATTCTTTTACTGGCTCTGATGAACCTGGGATAAGGGGCCACCTCAGGAGCCTTGAAGTGAATGTCCTTGGCCTGGCTGGGCAGAGGGTCAAATGTACAAATGATAAATTCTTTGGTTCAGGCTCCACCAGGAGATGCCATGGCCCACCTGTCTCCTGCCAGCTCATCCAAGCTCCTCCCTCTCTCAAGCAGCTGCTTGGGTAGGCAGGTGCTTCTTGTACCTGAGGAGCATCATGGCGACACCATGGCCCGGGGAGGCTTTGGCAGCTGGAATTGGAGGGAAGAGTCACAGACTGTGCTTCAGCATATGCGGCAGTCCTGCAGAGGGCCCTTGCCTGACCATTGGGCCAGTCCCAGTGTGTGCCCGGCTCACAGTAAAGATGAGGGAGCCAGGGTAATAAGAGTTTCAGTGTTGAACCAGGGTAATAAGAGTTTGATTTAAACTATAAATAAACAAATGCAGACTAAATATATAATTCCCTTTGATTCTAATGCATAGACTGAGCAGTCCATGTCTGAATGAAAAGAGCACTTAGCTCTTTAAAGCCCTAGATTATTTGAGAACTGAAGAGAGGCAATGTAGTTTTTTTTTCAGTTTATCTACTTGGCTCCACATATAAAGCCTGCTTGATTTTGGCCTTTGCTCAGATGAAGTTAGAAAGTGGTAGAAGCAGCAGAGGTACGGGGCATCGAGGAGCCCTGGGGATGGCTGCCTTTGCCATGGGACTCACTGGATTTCCTCAGTCCACTTTCCTCATAAGCCCACCCAGCCGTGCCAAGGCCTAACACCTAAATGCTCCTGGTAGCCTGCTCCTGGGTGTCACGCTCTGCTGCCTTGGCTAGGAGGGAGGGGTGCAGTCTATTTCTGCTCTGCTCCAGACAAGTCAACTGCTTTGAATAGCCTATCCTAGATCTCTAGGGACATTAATTCTGGGGGAAAGTCAGGGCTAGGGAGAAAGATTGATCTTCATTTTTACTCAGTAATAAACCAGGAATGGCTACTCCCACCTCCTGCCACAGCCTAATGCAATGCAGGAGCAACAGGTTTAGTCTTAGGAACTGGGTGAAGGAAGGACTCTGCTTCCACCCTCACCCTTTCCCCTGGTAGGTGGCTTGTTAGAGACTTTGATGACATCATGCCTCTGCCAAGGTAAGACCACACAGGAAACGAGAGTATTCCCTCGGGGGTAAGAGTGATGAGTTCAAGAGAAGCTCCTGATTAGCTGCCTGGAAGGTGGAAGGGCTTACATATTTGTGTTCCAACATGAGAAAATGCCCCTGGGTTTCTATGTAAATCACCAAGGAAAGCATGGAAATCAGCCTCATCCCCACTGAAGACAGAATTTAGCTATCCCAGCCCTGCACTTGCTGGAAGCATTACGTGGAGCGATGTCACCTCTTTAAGCTTTATTTCCCCATCAGAAAACATCAAGATAACAATAGGTTGTTGGGATGATAAAATAAGATCATTTATGTGAAATACTTAGCATATAGTAAATGCTCAGTAATAGTGCTACCATTTACAATGGTTATTGCTTACTTGGTGCCTATCATAACTGGAATCAGTGACTAGAATCATCAAAAGTTAGATTTTAAAGATGAGGAAAGTGAGCCCAGAGGTGTTAAGCGACTTGCATGGTGTCACTTGGTTGGTAAATAGCAGAACAAGGCTCCCATCTTCCCGTCATTGCCCATTGGGTACACATTGAATGACCTTGAACTGAAATACAACCCAGAGCTCTGAACCTCTAGAAAAATTTCTAATGATTCCATTTTCTTCCCCCAGAAATTAGAAACAAATCTAAGGGAAATACGCCTACCCCACCCTGGAATCTTGTTTTGAGAGTGGGAACTAGACTACAAACACCCCTCCTCAAGCAGAGAACCTGCCCCTAGTCCTTGCCCCCAAGAAAAATCATCTTCCTGGTGGTATCAGAGCAAAGATGTCAGCCGTCAGCAGCTGCTGACCTGAGAGAAAAGCTGTTGGAGACCTGGCTTGGCTCAGTCACAGTGAGAGGGTGTGTAAAAACGCCAGCCCAAAGCCTGGCGAGTAGTAACACTCAGAGCGTGTGTGGACTCTGAATAGGAGCACCAGACCTTCAGACCTCGGCACCTTGAGTCCTTGGTCCACAGTGGCTGACCTTGCCCGAGCAGTGCCTGCTGCTCAGAGCTCCGCAACATCTGACAGAACTTCGCCCAAGGCCTCCTGGGCCCCTGGGCACACCCTCTGCTGGTACAAAGAAATGTCCGTGGGTGAGCAGCTCCCCTTCCTGGGTTCAGGAACTCTTTCTAACCTGTCAAGAGGGCCAGCCAACCTGAATGGGCCACCCTGAGCCCATGAAGTGACATGGACTCAGGCTCCTGCTGCCTGACTAGCTGGTGGTGGCAGGTTTGGGTTTGAATCAATGTCTAGGCAGGACCACAGGAATGCAGCAAACTCCCACTTGTTCATCAGTCAGACTCCTGAGTAAGCCAACCTGCCAGAAGCATTCAGGGAAGTCTCAGAGCCTATGAAACTCACTGCAGCAATGAGGCATGACCAGGAGCCAGCATTCTCTGTCAGGCTCTGTCCGGGGAGCATCAGGTAGATTAACTCATGCAGTGCCCCCAACAACCCTCTAAGCTAGTGCTATTCACACCTTCATGTTAGAGAGAACAAAAGTGAGCTTTCCATGAATTCCTACCTTACTTCTGACAGGTGAAAAGGTGAGGATCCAGGTTAAATCCAAGCAATGTGAACCCATAACCTCATTCCTTACCTCCATGTTATACTGTCCCCCAACCAATTTGGCTGGTTAATCCTATGTCCTGAAGTTATAGTAAAAAAGGAGAGAGATGAAGAACGGAACTGCTGTGAGGAAGGGCGAGAGAGCAGGCAGCAGCCCTGGTCCATGGCAGGCTCCTGGAACAGCCAGCGGGAGCAGAGTCCCAGGAGGAAGGTGTAGAGCCAGCGCCAGAGGCTGCAGCAGGGCAGGGCTGTTCAACATGGGGGTTGGCAGCCAGAAAGTCCTAGCAGTTCCTCAGAGAGAGCAGCCCTCACTCAGCAGCACTGCAGGCTTGGAGCATTCTGGGACTGGGGGCATTAGCCTGCAGTTGTCAGTTAAGAGTAACTCACGTTCAAATTATGTCCCTTGGCACCAAGAAAAGGTTAAAGTGTGCTTGGAGCTTGCCGCTCATGAAGGTAGGGAAGATGACACTCATGAAGCTTCCATTTAAAAGGTGGGAATAAAAAATGTTGGTCTTCAGAGGGTCCTTTGGGTGTTCTTCATCTAGGATACTCACATATCCTCACAGGGCTGGACAGTGTCAGTGGAAAGAATTTACATGTTCATTGCCTATTGGTCCTCGCAGGCCTGGTATTACAGATATGAATCAGGTTATATTTGTGTTCCCCTTGAGAAGGCTCACTCTCCAGCCTATCAGAATTACAACAGCAGTGACGGTGAGAGTCTCAAAACTGCACTGGACGCTGTAATCAGTTGCAAGTCCCTGGACTCTGGAATCCAGTCACTTTTTGTTTTTAAGTTATTGTGAACAGAGGGCTTCAGACCTGTGCCTCCAGTTGACAAGGGGCCCAGTACCGCTAGGTGGGTAGGCATCCAGTTCTTTTCCCCTGGGGAGATGTGCATGTCTCTCTCCCCCAAAAGCAGAGAGCCGGGTGGGTAAGCATGTTACCACCTAAAGGCATAATTGGACCATGGCACAACACCCAGGTCCGGACGGAAGCAAGAGAAAGGCCAGGGTGAACATGCCTCGTGGGTGGAAGCAGAAGAGATGGCAGCATAGACAGTTGATTCTCATTATTCTGTGATGTCCCCACAAATGCTGAGTATCAATCCCGAACCATTGGTCCCAGGAGAAATACAGGGCGAGGTTCCTGCTAGTCTCTGATCACACCATTCTAATCAAGTGATCAGTACATAACCATGCATTTTGTGTGTTTCTCTAATACACATTGTTGATTCATTAGCATTGGACTTATGGCCAACAGCACTGTAACTCATGCCTGAAAAAAGCTCATCTAGCATATGTATTTTCTCCAGGAGGCACCTCACAGCCTTCTTTCACTTGGGACACTGGACAGCACTTCAGCACTATGCTTGGGGGCTGTTTTAAACAGCAGAATCAACAACAAAAACACAAAAGTGGCAATGAGCACACCATAAAAACTGTGGCAATAAACAGACCATAAAAAGGAGACCTCTGTTCACAGTCTGAGAGCTGAAACAAGAAGGCAACGGGTCACCTTGTCTGACCTCAGCTGGGGATGTGACTCAGTTTTCTTCCATTTTACAGATGTCTGCAGAAGACCTCACAGGCACACGAGTAATTGACTTGGGGTTACGAATAAAGTTTAGCGGGTAGGCAAATTCGCAAATACAGAAGCTGTGAATAATGAATCTCGACTGTATGGGTCATAGAGGGCCTGGAGCACCAGCCGTCGGTATTGAGGATTTTCCACTTGCACGTCCCTGTGCTCGCTTTACACCAGTGAGCGCTGGTCCTCTGGCTCTCCACCCCACCCTCATTTTTCATGTTGGCCCTTGCTGGCCAGGGAAGTGCTTCTGCCTACGACAAATCCCACAGCTGTGACTGATTGTCTAGCCGACTTGGTCCCTGGGCCCAGCACAGCCCGACAGGCTGGGGCTTCATGTCTTCATTAGCTCAGTCCCCAGAGCAGGTGCCTGGCTGGCATCCAGGCGAGGAGATAAAAGTGAGCCAGGCACTGCCACCCAGAAAAATCCCTTACTGCATGGGGTCTGGATGGGGAAACCTGGCTTACCTTCCATTAGGCTGCAGTGTGATTGTGTACCATGACCCCTGGGAGCCAAGGGGAGCCACAGGCTTCCGGTCTGACCCTGCCACTTTTCTATCCCCTTCACACCCCCCACACACCTCAGTTTTCTTTTATCACAGGGATGTTTGATGTTTACTTTGAGTCCCCAGAGGGACTGCTGGTGAGTTTTATTCTACTGGGAAGATGCTGTAATAGGTCTGGGTCAATTGTCCCTACTCCAGTTGGGCCCCAGTCCTATCCTCCCAACCCTAGAAGAAGAATGGGTAGTTGTTTTGGAACTAGAACTTGAACCCTCTGCAAAATATTCCAAAAGAGCCTAAATAAACCCTCAGTTATTTAGTCACCTTACAACTCAAACCCACTCCACAGGAGAGGGATGGAGGTGCAAATGCGTGTGGGCAGAAAGAGAGCAGAGAGAGGGGCTTTGAAGTATAGTATTGGAGTTGATTCTCACAGGGCGGGAACTTCTATATGAAGTGACTGTCTCCAGAGAGCAGGTCTATGGCCCTGGGGCAGTGTGACTAGGTACAGAGGTGTGACTAGGCAGGTGGCTGGCATCTTTCCTTGTCCACCTCAATAACAAAAGGACAGCTGGGCAAAGCAGAGCAAGGCCTCCATCGTCACTGCAAGCTGTTAATCTGGCCCCTTTTCCCTGGCATTAAACTCCCTGGGAAGGAAATGAAGGTACCCACCAGTTGGCAGGAAGCCCAATGAAAAACAAGTTCAGTCCAATTAGAATTCAATCAAATTTAGGAAGAAAATTCCATCCAAACCAGAGCACCATTAAGGCAGCAGTTGAAGAGAACTCGTTAGTTTGAGAGCTCCCACATCTCCCAATTAAGAAGTTCCCTAGACCACTTCCAGCCCCAACCCCATTCACCATAAAAATGGTGAGCTCTAACACCCGTGCTCTCCAAAGCAGCACTAGCAAAATGCGCATAGCAGCCAGTGGGTGTGGTGAGAGAGCCAGCTAATGTCACCCAGTAGATTCAGGGGCTGAGCCTGTGCCCACTATGGTTTGTTGGTGTGTCCTTCCTTCCAAGGTGCTTCTGTAGAGTTTCTGGCTTGTGCAAGGAATTCTTTCAAGGTGGTTTCTGCAGCCGCCTGCCATGAACTACACCTTTACTGGTGAGAGAAGGAGGAATCATATTTCTAAGAATTAAACAAGATGCCCAATGCAACACACACACACACACACACAACTAAGGGCCCCGTTTCCTATAGACTGAGTATCAAGCAGAGAAATGCTCCTATGTACAATTTGAGAAGAAAAGACACAAACTTGCTTGGCAAGTTAAGAACTAGCCTTCTTGATCACAGCCCTCTGCTGCCAGCCCTGCCTTGCCAGGAAAGTGAATTTGAAATCAGAGAGAAATAAGGACAGAATCATAGAAAATAAATAGCCCTTCTGTCAATTTTTTCAACAGGCCCTTCTTTTGTCAAACTCCAATTCAATTCCAATTTCTGCTCATTATTACTTTAAACTGAACGCATCATTTAACTTTTATATCATCTTGATTTTATGTATTTTTCCATTATGATTAGATTTCTTTTTTAACCTAAAAGGCAGCCCCCAGGACATTTTCTTGTGTTTGGAACCCTCATTGTCTCCATGTGAGAAAGCACTTTCTCTAGATTAGAAATCCTCCCAGGCAGCTAAGAGAGGCAGGAAGAGCCCTATTCATAAGAATAGAGAAGGAGGGGGTTCATTCCCCTGGGTCTCAAATCGGTGGTGCACTGATACATATTTAACAATTGGCTCTTTAGGGGAGAAAGCCTTGGTTTATAACATTTGCCAATTCCCATGGTGTAAATATTCCCACCATGGCCAATTTCAAGCCATCACAGAGACCTCACTGAAGCCAGAGTTGGGAAGAGCCATGTACAGGTGGCTCTCGGGAGCCACTGTGGTTGAACAGGCTTCAGCACACCGGGCTCCTACACCTTTTGCCACCCAGAGGCTCTTGAGACTTTTCTCCTGCCGTCCAAAGCTGGGGAAAGGTGAATGCATGTTCCGTACTATTGTGGAGGTTTTTTTGGTTACTATTCGAAGGAGATTTCGGGTCATTGGAGAATAGTTGTTAATGAAGGCAGAGCCTGTAATCATGATCCAGGAAAAAGGGAAATGGGTTTTATCCCTCCCATTCAGTGACTCCTTCTATATATGTGAGAGCCAAGACGTAGCCTGGGATGGCTAGAGAAAGCTATCTGTGGAAGTTGGGGCATGTGGTCAGGCTTCCTAGTGCAAAGCCATCCTCACTTTTGTTTCTCCTTGTCTCCATCTCTCCTTCATGCCCCACCCACGCCCTCTTTCCATGCACTCCCTGCCCTGCCCACTCCACTCTCTCTCCAGAGAGTTCTCCAAAGAGAGGGAGAAGGCCAAGGCTCGGGGGGATTTCCAAAAGCTACGAGAGAAGCAACAACTGGAAGAGGACCTGAAGGGCTACCTGGACTGGATCACACAGGCGGAAGACATTGACCCTGAGAACGAGGATGAAGGCATGGATGAGGAGAAACCCCGAAACAGTGAGCAGCATCCTCTGTCTTGACTGGGCTCTGGGAGAGGGAAGAGATGGGGGGAGCACAGCAGAAACCTTTTACCACCAACCTTTCTTTACAGTTGTCCTCCTGGAGCAACATTGGTCTCACTGCTTGCAATCATTTGCTACTCATAGAAGTTAGTGAAATAATTATGATTGATCTGTAAAACCTCATTTTCTTTTAGGATCTTTGATCTTAAAGACAGTTTAGATTTTGCTAAGGTGCACTCTTTATTTTTAATCAGACATCCTCCTCTGGGCTCCATCTCTTTGGGCAGAGGGCAGGCTCCTGCACAGGCTTGTTACAAAGAATACTTTCCACCAAGCAGCTCCCTAGAAAGCAGGAACCTCGCCCCCTTTGCAGCAGACTTCCAAGCTCCATTGTGCTTTCTCAGGAAAAGCAGCCAAAGGTTTCTCTTAAGGAGGTTAGATTCAAAGTACTAAATGGGAAGACTGAGGAAGCCTAGAGGCATTTGACAAGTTATAGAAACTGAGCTAAATCCCTTCCTCTGGGGTTGCACGGGGCAGGCTCTCACCAGATTAGCCCTGTGGGTCTCAAAGTGTGGTCTCTGGACCAGCAGCACCTGGGAAGTTACTAGAAATGCAAACTCAGGCTGCACTTCAGATCTGCTGGCTCAGAGATCCTGGGGGTGGGGCCCAGCAATTGGTTTGAACAGCCTGCAGATGATGGAGCTGCCGGGTACATTTGAGAACCACTGCATTAGGTCCGACTATTCTCCCTGTTTCATTGGACCTCCATCTCTCTGATGACCACGCACTTGCCTTCTCTCTCTGGGTGCACTCACTCTGTGGGGCAAGCATAGGACAGGAAGGCAGCACTCCATTCTCACTAACCTTGAAAGGCTTCCCTTGGTCTTTCCTTTCAATTTCTCCCTCCGTCATTCACACTGAATCTGGTATAAAGCCCTCAGCCTCTCTGATCCCCAGGTCTCACCAGACCT